GGTAGGGAATAGGATAGGGATCGGGATAGGGATAGGAGAATGCAATGTGCGTTTCCAAGACTACCCTCATTGACGACAACACTGTTTATTTCAAGGTTTTAGGTTTTTTAGGTGGAGTCTAGTCTTTCTAAATCTAAATTCAAGTTCAATTGCGGCTTATACTCAATGTATACATTAACTAATTTATCAGTTGTTTGCCCCCCACTCCTATGTACACACATACCCGTCCCCCCACTACCCCTTTCGCCAAGCAATTCTCGGCTATTATTATGTTAAGTGAAGTCTTAGCTAACACTTGGCTGTGTTTTTCGCGTATCTATAGCTCAACATGTGATTCAACTTTTAAATTAAACACAGAATTTCTCTCTCTGTGTACACACACTCTCTTACAATCAATTTTAAGGTCTTTTTATGAATTTATTGCGAAAAAAATGTTTATTTCATTTATACAGTACTGAGTACTCTCTGTATTTATAGGATATTGTGATCATTAAAACTGATGGCAATAACTTTTAGAAGTAATTTAATTTTTATTTTATTGACTGTTAGAACACGTAATGCTATCTAAATATATCTGACGAACCGATGATTGCATAAGTTTTGTTCATTTATTTGCAAAATCTGAAACACATTAATTTATTTTCAGTTAATTAGCTATTAATTAGTCTAATGTTTTGGAATAACTATAGTTTTGGCATTTTTAGAGAATTTAAAAAGTATTTTAAAAGGTTAGATACAACTAATTGGTTGAATTCTGGTACAGAATCTGCGGGATTATGACCGACTTTGTAGGAATAGTAGCCCATATTCTTTATGAATCCCATGCCATGGCATCCCTGATGTATACCCTGATTATGTCATAGCAAACAAAAGCCTCATTTGTTGTATGATTTGTTATTCCAATGAAAGCCAAGTATTGAATGTTTAAGTGTTGTATAGAATCTAATGCTAAAACACTTGACATTAATATGGGGTTATCTTTTCGTAATAATTAAATACTGTATAAAAGATTTCTAATCCTGACCTCAGATTAAATGTTTTGCATATTTAGTGCTGAATGTGAGCTAATTTCTAATTTCGCTTTGAATCCAGTCTCAGGAGTTTGAATAAAATAGTATCAGAAATGGCACACAAGGCCTCCAATGCTTGCAGTATTAGTAATAAAGTGTTTGTTACGTTAAATGTCAAACTTATATAACATGAGAGTTTGTATTATGAGATAAATCTTATATATAGTATAATGTCATATACTATGTATGCATGCATTTGATTGCTATACAACTAATGTTCTGTTATTTTATTTTGTTTTATTCAGACTTTGTTTTGCAATTTGAGATTAAAATAAATATAACTAATAATAATACAGAGCTGTATGTATGTATGTGTTTAGCTATATATACAGTGCATTGCTATAACAGCAGATATAATAAAATAAAAGTCGATTTATATGATGAAAAAGACCTTCAAATATGAGTTCAATTGAAACGACAATCAAAACGTTTATGTATTGATTAGGAAAGTGGTGTAAAAGTACTGGAAATATATTTGATAATTAAAAGCCATTGAATAGTTTTGTTGTTTGCAAAAAATGTTTGCAAGTTTGTTGACCTAATTTAGAGCTACATTTTTGGGCTCAAACATCACTATTGACCTCATTTTGGTTGCCATAAGATTATCCAAGAGTTTTATCACTCATTTCTGGATTGTTTTTATTGCTTTCCATTTGAATCCATTGTCGCATCGCTCCCGGCGTTCATACCATTAGTTTACATAATATTTGAGTAGTTTTTGATTTATCGTGTTTAACATAAAGAGTTAATGATTTATAATTATTATTGAAAAGTAGTATTTTGTTGATCAGCAAATCGATTGCCATTTTTCTGACACTTTTCTCTATGACTTATTGGCTTTGAAATTATAAATTGAGAAAATCTATAATTTTGAGCAAAGGTTTTGTTTTTTAATTATAAGCTAATGCCTCCGATATTTTGTTCACATCGTGTTTTGTTTAACCTCTAAAAGTCTTTCACATAAAATGTTCATTAGTTATAGATTTTTTAGATGAGAAAAATGTATTTTTTATTCTGAATAATAATTTTTATTGAGAAATACTGACTTTATCGCAAATTTATTTATAATAAAGTTAGTGACAAAAGTGTTTGCGATAATTTATGTCTCTCTGACAACACATGGAAAGGGTTGTAAACCTTTAACAAGTTTTTCTGCAGCGATAATAAATGTAAAAAATTGTTATTTATTTCATTGAATGTCTCATTCATTCGTCAGACCAATGATAATGTGAGCGAAAATTGTACCAAATATTGCACAACAATTCAAATGTTGAATACCTTTGTGCCGTGAATTTACTTCTACTTGTTTGATGGCATTCAATGAAATATGTTTTTAATTTTGTTTATTATCAGCACATTGTGTACTCTATTCCCTAACCCCATACCCAACCAATGCATTGCACAAAAAGCCATTAGAAGTAATCATCGAATTTGTTCACTATATTCACGACACCACTAATGAATCAATTTGTTTGAAAATAACGCCCTTTAAGTCCTCTCCTTTTAAATCATAATTCATTAATATTATTTATATACACTTTTAGTTTTTATTATTATTATTCACGTAACCGTACGTTTTCTATTCGACTTTCAATTATTTATTGATTATGAGTTTTTCGATTTCTCACTAATATGTGAAATATGAATGACAAATGACTTCATTATATAAGGGGTTTAAGCAAATCAGCAGTTTTTTGTATAAATAAAATATAGCATATTTTTCCTAAATAAAAGTCACTGAATTAATTCTAAGAAAATTCCCCAAAAATAACAAAATATGTTTAAAATAATATTTTTAGTGTCATATGAGGAGCTTCTGTCTCTTCTTTCAATGTATATTATTTTTATGAAATCGATTTTTTTCTATCAAATTAATTAGCTTTTAGTGAAAGCAGAATATTCTTATAAATAATGGTTTAAACATAATATCGCTATTGAAATAAATAAAAAAATTAATAACGAAACAAAAATGATTAATAAAAAGCATTTTCCATTAAAATGGTATTAATTGCTAAGTAGAGAGGAATGAAATCTATGTAATTGACTGAAAGTCTGGAATCCTTTTCTCTCGAAATAATAAAAATAACATAAAATTTTATTTAAATTGAATAGAAATTACAATAGAAATTGTCTTCGCTTTAAATGATTACATGACTTGAAAAAGAAAAGTATAAAAAAGAAATAAATACATAATATTGAAAAGTTTTTTTTAATTCATTTAGTGTTTTCGACGGTATGTCCTTGTGTTTGGTGCTATCAAACAAAACCAGTCACTCATGTTTTAGCAAAAGATTGCACGGCTTTAACTGATTCACAGTATTTTGTATTTTATTTCTTCTATTTAGAGAATATTTGTTTTTTGTGACTCTTTTTTTACTTAAAAAAGAGATAAAACTCTTTGAATCGTCTCTAACCAAAAGTCATTGAAAATATATTTTATTTTATCTAAAATATTAGTTAAGTTCTAGACATAGAAATAAGAAAAATATACATATTTTATAAATATTATAAAGTTATTGCTTATTAGTTGTCAGTCGTGAATATAAACAGAATATAAAATTTTATTTACATTTTTTCTACTCTTTCCTCCGTTTCACTAAAACCACAAAAAAGGCAAACATTTGCCAAAGAAATGAAAAATAGTATTCACTTTCTATTAAATGAAATCAGTGACAAAATAGGCTGGTAATTCATTTAGGCTATATATCCACATAAAAGTAAAAATAATTTATTATTTTTATTATTATATTTTTTGTTGTTTTCGAGTATAAGAATAGCTAGAATTTGTTTAATAACATTGAATTGAATTGAATATATAACTAATTTGAATAATTGTATACTATGTTATTCAACCATAAAATGTATAGATTTTTGAATACATGTACGATTTGAATGTTAGTGAAAGAGAGAGCACTTACACCATAGGCTATGGCATAGAGTGCTCACAATGTCAGTACTGTATGGTATGGTGTAATGTATTGTACAGAATTGTTTCGTTGGACAGAATAGAGGAATTGTGTGGCATTTGAATGGCATTATAGCATTGGTGTAGTAGTTCTGTGGCAACTACTCGTCAAATATACGAATAATGAGTGAATGTATGGGAAGACTGTGAATGTATGGGAAGACAAGGTTGGAGTTGGAGTGGAGGCACATGAGTGCGAGTGATGTGATGCTTAGTTTTAGCGCTGGAGTTGAGTGTAACGATGCTCTGAGTGTTGTTGTGGTACAGTAGTAGTGAAGCGAAGACCAGTTTTCGGTGTCTGTGCTGTAGAAGCAGTACTCGAGAACTGGCGACCAGTATTGCTATTCGTCTCTCACTCACTGACAACACATTTGTGTACAATATATCCAACAAAACTCAGCACTCGGTTCAGTGTTGCGTATCTCAGATCTGGTCTCATAGTCTTATAGTGTCTTAAGTGTTGTTTTTGGTCGCTATTAATGATAACTGAAATTGTTTTAAATGTTTCATTGCTATTGAGATAATTATAATCAGTTATTCAATTACTGTAAAAGTCATCGCTTTATTAATAAAAAGGGCCTGAATTGCCAATTGAGAGTCAACTATAATCTTATTTCCAATTCTATATGAATAGTGATTTACTTTTTATTTTTATTTTTTCGTGTTTTGTTTTTTGCCAACAATGTCATTAAAGTTATTGCTGACAATATATGGCATTTATTCGTGATTTTATATTGACTTTTATGTTGCCTTGTGTTGACTTGAAGTCAATTCTTTACAAATAGTTGGACAGTAGTGTAGGCGTCGTTGGCTTTACGTCTATGAACTTCAGCTTTTATACGGGTTTTGATGGACAAAAACTTATAACAAAACCCTAACTCTATTGGTATCGACACAACAGTATCAGTGATCGCGATTCACATAATTGATATATATTTCATATATTATATACTGTGTATTGAAGTGCATTTGATATATGATATAAATAAATAATATTCTGGTAGATATAGTTATATGTGTTTCACCAATTGGGTGCTGGCATTGCGATTGCGGCTGTGAGTCCAACTAAAACAGTGAACACATCCCAAACACATCGTACAGTCGTCTACTGTCGTGTAAAAGTCAAGTCAGAGGATCTGTAGATAACACAAGTTTTCGATTAGTTTTTTATATCACTATATTAGGTCAATGGTATTGTAATGCAATGCAAACCATACTGTGCTCTCTCTCGGCACCTGTCATACCGACGCTATTCTCTCTCACTCTCATTCACTACTGAAAACACTTTTTACATCTTTATTTGACTAATGGATTAATGAAACAATTGATTAAAACAATACATTTGCGACTAATGTTTTTTAAATGTGATATCAAGTCATCAATTGAATTGACTTAAAACACTGTGTTATTAAGTTTTGTTGTCTTTACTACTCAACTGTGATAAACGTTTTTATTATAAATTTTAAAGAGTATATACAAATATTATATATTATAAATATATATACTGTATAAGTTGATAAATCTATATGAGAAAATATTTTATCATTTGATTGACAAAACAAATAATAAGACAATTAAAACAAAATGTACAAAAAAGAGAGACCTAAGCTAAGCGTCACTGCATTACTCTATGGCACACAAAGTCCTAACGCTTGGCTTCAACAACACTCAGGTATGCCATCATTTTCCCAATAAACTCGTCAATTGTAAGCAAAATGTAAAAGTTTTTTAACTCATGTGAGACATTGAATGCCAGTCGAGCCATGGATTCAGAGACGAGTCGAGAGTTAATTAACACTCGAAAGAGTTTTCTTTATCTTATTTTTTGAGGAAAATTCTTGTCTACCAATTGAGCCAAACATTAATTTTTAATGAAAATTGAAATTATTTTATTGAGTTTCCAATAGACTTATTGAATGGTATACTACTGTAGTATTAATGGATAGATTTGTTTGTGAATACAATCGTTGGTACGTTTGAAACACGAGCTCATAATTGATTCTTACATTGCGTTCAACTCTCTCTATGTGTTCAATAGATTTGTTTCATTAGATTTATGTGAATTGAAGGTCAATAGTAGTGTTAATACACTAAACAATCGGATTTGAGTGATTGTGAAATAAAGTGAGAATTGTATGAATTATTATGCATAGTATGCATAATAGGAGAGTTAATATGCATTTCTCGTTGAGAGCATATATTTAGAGCGTATATAATGTTATATAATGTTTATGAGGGCAGTCGGTTACCAGTGCTTATCATCCCTTCCAGCTATTTATGGATGCGATTCATAAGAGCCATACACTTAACTTGTAAGACAAGAGGCCATCTCTAAGCGATATTTGTATTGAGATTTGTGTTCACTATTCAATTAAGTCGCTTCTCCTATGGCATTGAGTTTTTTCATTACATGAATCGAGTGTCTCTCCAAAGACTGGCCACAAATTGGCAGCTCATCCCATGGCAAGCCTTCCCCTCTGAGCGCCGGTGGTGTCACAGGAGTTGTAGATCTTGTTTGTCATGCATTAGAAATTTGTTTTCTTTTCATTTGTGACTATTTGTGAGATATTTCTCATTACAGTATTGCTTTGCATTGAGATCTGGAAAACATTATTAAGAAATGTTATGTAATATAAAACATGAAAGAGTATGAAAAGCAAGAAAAATGGCAAAAACCTAAATGAAGGCAAAGAAAGCGATGAATAAAGTAATTGTACTTAAAGTCGATTAAAAGGAATGTTAAGAAACTATAAATAATTTATGGTAATAGTAATAGTAATGCAATTCGTTGCCAATGAAATGCAATGTTAATGAATATAATGTATATAAATGTGCAAAAATGTAGTTTAAATGGAAATTCACTGCTTATAACTATTTCTCTCATTTAATATATTAACTAAAAGTAGTTTTACTTAAATGTTATTTGGAGTTGAAGTCAGTGTTAGCTAATTAGAGAATAAGTTACACAAAATTGTATGCAATGGTATGGATTGGCACACCTTTTCAGGTGCAAAAAGACCTTGAATATAGTCACGCGTGTATTGACTGTGTCATAGAAACTATAGATAGAGAGTGAATGAGTGAAACAATGAGTTTAATTCACATTTCACTTATAAGTTAATAAGTGATTATGCATTGTATGAATGGTGTATATTATATATGCCTATAAAACACTACATTTATTTACATAACCGTCAAATGCCCTTCGATTCCACTCATTAACGCAATGCACAACTGTGTGGTGTGTGGGTGACTGTGCTCTCACAACTCAGCCCTCACTCCATTTCATCAAATAATTGGCAAACCCCTCACCCCTCCAACCCTCTCCTCATTCATATGATTTGCCAAAAACAATATTAATAGCAATAATCACTAAATCTTTGCTCTCGTTGTTTATTATGGCAGCCATTCTCTCCTTACTTTAAATTCTGTTCCAAAAGTTTTCTTATTTTAATTCATTCTCTCATTTCGTGTATTTATAACTCAATTCTTGTTTTATATCTCATTCTCTCTGAGTTCCAAATATTTTGTTCAGAATCTGTTCGCAAAAGTAGTTCATTAGCTCTCAAACCAACAACAAATGGCACAGAATTATAGCTAAGATAACAAAGTCTAGGAATATATCTGTTATTTTTCAAATAATTTCAACGATAATTAAATGACAAGAAACACTTGAATATAGACTAAATTCTTAATCGATTTATGCGGTCTTAAAACATAAGAAACTTTTACATCCAATTCCCATCGGCTTTAAGTATTCATGGTATTCATAATTTATGAAATTAAAACTGCATTACTTTTAATTCATTACACTTCCTAACCTCGAAAACTCTTGGTTTCCTAAAAACCCGTTTATTTTGAGTAAAAATAAAATTTTGCGAAAATTAAATGTGAAATACAATTATAAGTATCACACGAAGCGATTCCTAACATTAGTCTTAATTAGTTTTAACTACTTTTATGTGAAATATAATATTATTGAACACATTAGTTGTGAAATATATTCAAATGAAATGACTCTATGTTTTGATTGATTGATAGCATCGAACGGAACGTTGAACGGGTCGACCAACAGCGGGTCGCCGTCCAGTTCTATACCTCAGTCTCCATATCAGAGCACACTTTCCAATAGTTACAACGGACCGGCCGTATCATCACCACAAGTTTCATCCCCACAATCCGGTGGCCGTTATCCTCCCAATCATCCCTTAAGTGGTTCTAAACATCTTTGTTCCATATGTGGTGACAGAGCCTCTGGAAAACATTATGGTGTCTATAGGTATGACATTCAACAAGCCGAACATTTGTTTGGTCTTTAAATCTAATCTCAATATATTGTCTAATATATGAACAGTTGTGAGGGATGTAAAGGCTTTTTCAAGAGGACAGTGCGGAAAGACCTGTCGTACGCCTGTAGAGAAGAGCGTAATTGTATTATCGATAAAAGACAACGAAATCGATGTCAATACTGTCGATACCAGAAATGTCTGCAAATGGGAATGAAGAGAGAGGCCGTCCAAGAGGAACGGCAGAGGACTAAAGACAAGGGCGACAATGAAGTGGAGAGCACCAGTAACTCACACCACGACATGCCTATTGAGCGCATCTGTGAAGCGGAACAACGAATTGAACCCAAAAAAGATGAGGTAATGATTCGGCCGCATGTCATGGGTTGCATTCTTGTGACTAATGCCTCCCATTGTCCTGCCGTTGCTATACCAGCAACCGGTGACCAATATATTACAGGCAGCGGACAGACAACTGTACCAATTGGTGGAGTGGGCCAAACATATTCCACACTTCACTGATCTGCCGATTGAGGACCAAATGGTTCTCCTGAAGACCGGTTGGAATGAATTACTTATCGCCGAATTCTCGCACCGGTCGATGAATGTCAAGGACGGCATCGTATTCGCAAACAATATGATCGTCAACCGTCCCGGTGCTCACGGGGCAGGTGTCGGCACCATCTTCGACAGAGTGCTCACCGAATTAGTGGCGAAAATGCGCGAAATGAAAATGGATAGGACGGAGTTGGGCTGTCTCAGGGCTGTCGTCCTATTCAATCCCGGTATGTATCGCATCCATAAGCCATCAACACATCTGCAAGTCTTTGAACTTTTTGTTTTAATTTTTGTTCACTTTTAGAGTGCAATCGAAAAATAAAAGTCGAGTTTTTTTGGTATTAATAGACAAAAACATTTTGTTGATAATGACTTCAATGCGATCTATAATTAACTGAAACTAAACTTAACTAAAAATTGTTAATTTTCTCGAAATATTTATCATCTTTTATTTTTCATTTCTGGCATTAGTTATGAAATTTCGTTAGAATTATCTAAAGAGTTAAATAACACATAAAATATTTAGATTTCAAATGTGTTGTCGATATAAATAACTGTTTTGTTGTGAATAACGCATAGATTTGATTAAAATATTTATAAATTGTTTGTTTGAATGCATTACAGAAGCGAAAAACCTGAAATCAGTACAACAGGTGGAAACACTACGCGAGAAATTGTATGCAGTATTGGAAGAGTACTGTAAGCACAGTTACCCTGACCAGCCTGGCCGATTCGCAAAACTACTGTTACGTTTGCCGGCGCTTCGTAGCATTGGTCTCAAATGTTTGGAGCACTTGTTTTTTTACAAACTTATGGGAGACTCCCCTATCGGTAAGAAAGAAGCGATAGGTATGTGTCATGAATTCCTGCCCATTAGTCTGTCTATTCTCACACAAGAGGCTGCCTGTCCTCTCATGTCTGTCCTTTTTAGTTCTCAATCTGTGATTTTTGTTGTCACTTCTTTGTTTCGAAACATAATTGATTTAATGTTTGATACTAATTGTGCTTTTATTCAAATTTCAGACAACTTTTTGATGTCAATGCTTGAGTCGGGGAATGATGTCTAAACCGTTCGGACACGCGATTGATATTAATTTAAAGAAATGTTAAATTATACGTTAATATTAATGATTAGTTCGTCAAAGTGTTTAAGGATTTTACCCATAATTTTATTATTTAGTATTTTCTTTATACCTATCGACTAATGAAATCATCTTTTATTATGACTTTAAACACAACTCATAAGAAATTGAATGAAAAGGTTGGAAGAGTTTGTAATTTGTTTTTTCTGGCATTCCTGCGAAGAATGTGTACATAAAGTTAGGGCTGATGTGAGAAGTGATGTATAGTTTGTTGAAATCAAATGTTAAGCGAAAAGACCTAACAATCAAAAGTTATTTATTGACGACAAGAGATCTAAATCTAAATTTAATATATTTTTGGACAACATTTGAGGGAAAAGAGTTGAAATGTTTAGCAAAGAGTTTATATGTAGAGAAAGAAAAGTAATAATTATTTGTAAATTAATTTAAATTAAGTCTAAATTTATTTATTTTCAAAGATTGCAATTGACATCAGATTGAACTCGGAATAATTGATTGATTGTTAAAAACTGAAACACAAAAATACTTTTAAATTATTTGTAATTTGAATGAAACTGTTGTTTTGATTAATTGTTACATTGATTGGAAATATTGTGACCAAAATCGTTGGTAATGTTATTATGAATTGAATTCTCCATTCATTATATTTCGCGCTTTTATCTCATTATAATGAATACACATTTCATTATATGTTTGTTATAATAATTCATTACAATTGTAATCATGTTTCTCTCGATTAGAATTCAAAACAATTATTTGTGTTTAACTGTATTTATCTCTCGATTTCTCCTATGATTTGTATATAATTTCATAATATATTTTAATTCAAGATATATTTTGGTGGATGTAATTCATTATAATTTTATTATTATTACTTGTAATTGACTTTTCAAAATGTTTTGTCATTTTATTTCATATTATATTTTGTTTTTCTTCACAAAACAACTGTTTTTTAAAAGTTCTCTCGAATTATATTGTATTTAATGACTGAATGACTCTTATATTTGCATCACTTGTTTAATTTAATTACTCGATTATTTAAAAAATTTAATTTAACTCCCAAAAGTTGTTGAAATTGTTTTTAATATTTACTTAAATTTACTCTTTTTTTGTCAAAAAACAAAGTAAGAAAACTAAAAGAAGTTTACAAATAAAATTGACAGAAACAGTATTTTGCAAATTATTGTCTATTATTTGTGTTTTCACATAAATATAACCTTTTTATCGCCGTTTTTCTGGTGACGAATATATTATATTAATATCTTATCTGCAAAATGCTTATATCAATAGCGGCAACAAATTAATTTACGGATACATTAATAATTTGATTAAAAAAGTAGGATTCTATGTGTAATAATAACAGACATACACTGGTAAGTTATGAAATTGTCTCAATTTTATCAATTTTATATTGACAACAAATCGCTATGAAATAAATTACTTTATTACTTAAAGACAACGACGACTCTTCAAACTATTTCATTATTATTAATCAAAGTGTTATTCATTAGAAAAGTGTTTATAAAACATCCAATCATTCATCTGTAAGTATATTTATTTTAGATAATTTGTGTTAGTTTTAAGTTTTATTTTTTTTATTTAATATAAACCTTACATTAATGTCATAAATTCATGTTATTATATTAATAATTATAAATCAAAACCATTTAATTCTCTCATAGTAGACTAATTACAGTAAGGATTAAATAAGTTTAACAAATGTTATACTGTACTGACATTTAAAACTTAAAATCAAAAATAATGTTAATTGTCTTGGATTTCAATGCCATTTAATACGTTATCCTTAGACAATAAACTTTCAATGTTATCATATTTTTTCACTTATTTGTCAAGAAAAAGTTATGAAAAATTTATAAAAATGACTTTAATTATAGATACAGTATAATGGATTTTAAAATGTTGATATTTTAACAAATAATAGACACTTTGAGAGCTTAATTATAAAGTGTTTCGAAAGTGTTCAGTATTTTTCTTTAGGTTATACTTAAATATCAAAAGTATAACTGAAGGCAAAAGGCGTTTATGACTTATTAAAAGAGTTTTTGTGAGATTTTCGCATAAGTATTGAATTCAATGTCAAATGGGATTAAGGAATACGTGCCGAAGATATATACCTCTCAATTGAATTACTGATTGATTAATTGCATACAGAGTCCATAGATTATCACCTGTGAAATGGAAGTGACTCTAAGAACTTGAGGGGTGACACCGTAGCTCACCATCTAATTGCCAAAAATTGCAAATTCAAACACAATATTTTGAATCTCGTGTTGAAAATTCTCAGATAATTTTGTTTTGAAAAATAGTGCAATTCTTACGATAAGATTAATTATAGATTTTGGGAATATATTTATGAATCTGCATTTGATTTGGCGTTTTTAGTCGAGTTTTCTCATAATCTATAAATAGTAAGCCATTTGATTTCACAGCCCTTGACAGCCACGGGACGACTTCCACATGAGTTGACCTCCAATTCATATCTCAAATCAATTTGAATTATTGTTAAGCTCACGGATTATCAGATTTGTGTTTGTTTTGTACGATCTGTTAATGCTATTTATGTATGTATTTATTGGTATTAGGCTCGCATTTGGAAAAAGTGCATTGATAACAGGTTTTTGATTAATTGTAAACACATTTCCATTGAATCACATTTCTGTGTTTAAAATTAAAGTCAGTCTCAAATTTCCGCGCTATTAGTGAAGGGAATTTCGACTATTTCTCTCTCTTTTAATAGGATTTGAACTTTAAATATAAAAATAACAATAAAAACAATTTATATTAGATATTATTATCAGTGATAATTTATCACATCTATTTGTGCTAGAATAATTATTGAAAATAACTTATTCATCGATTTGAAAGGGTTTTTAGTCACCTACAGTATCATATTGCGATTGTAAAATATTGCATAATAAACATGTTTCAATAAATCTAATACATGATATTGTCATCGATTTATCATTTGAATGACATATGGATTTGAATAACTAATTCACTCATGAAATTCATTTGATAAAAGTGGCG